TGGTGGGCTCCATGCTCAATGGGGAGTCTGCTTGAGATTCTCTCCCTCTCCCTCTGCCCCTCCCCCTGCTCACGTGCACTCTTTCTCTGTCTCATATAAATAAATAAATCGTAAAAAAAAAAAAAAAACCTCGGGGCGCCTGGGTGGCTCAGTCGTTGGGCATCTGCCTTAAGCTCAGGTAGTGATCCCAGGGTCCTGGGATCGAGCCCCGTGTTGGGCTCCCTGCTCTGCCGGAGGCCTGCTTCTCCCTCTCCCACTCCCCCTGCTTGTGTTCCCTCTCTCGCTGTGTCTCTCTCTGTCAAATAAATAAAATCTTTAAAAAAAAAAAAAAACCTCACCAAGCCATGCACAGTTGTTCACAGCAGCTTTATGATACCTCAAAGCTGAAACAACTCAAATGGCCATCAGTAGGCAAATGGATGAAGACAATGTGGTACAATCTTACTGCATAATATAAGCCAGCAATAAAAAGGAGTAAACTACTAATGCAACACCATGGATGAATCTCAAAATTATGATACTGAGTTTTAAGGGGCGCTGATGGAGCATGCGACTCTTGATCTCAGGGTTGTGAGTTCGAGCCCCACGTTGGGTGTAGAGATTCCTTAAAAATAAAATCTTTTAAATTATGATATGAGTTTTTTAAAAGTCAGACAAAAAAGAATAGTGTATGATTCCATTTATATAAAATTCTAGAAAATGTAAACTCATCTATAGTGATGGGAATCAAATCAGTGGCTGCCTCCATGTGAGGTGGGTGGGAGAGAGGAAGGAGAATTACAAAGGGCCAGGAGGAAACACTGGGGGGATATGAGTATGTTTCTTACCTCTATTGTGGTTCTGGTTCTACAGATGTATTCATATGTTCCAAATCATCAAATCTACACTTTATATTTTTTAAACCATTTTAAAAAGATTTTATTTATTTATTTGAGAGAGCGAGTGAGAGGCAGAACACAAGCAGGGGCAGAGGGAGAGGGGAGAGGCAGTCTCCCCTGCTGAGCAGGGAGCCCAACTCGGGGCTCAATCCCAGGACCCCGGGGATCATGACCTGAGCCGAAGGCAGACGCTCAACTGACTGAGCTACCCCAGCACCCCAAAGCTACAGTTTTAAATATGTGCAGTTTATTATATGTCAATTATATGTCAATAAAGCAGCAAAAACATTTTTTAAAAAACTCACTGTGCAGGGACGCCTGGGTGGCTCAGATGGTTAAGCATCTGCCTTCGGCTCAGGTCACGATCCCAGGGTCCTGGGATTGAGCCCCGCATCGGGCTCTCTGCTAGGCGGGGAGCCTGCTTCTCTCTCTGCCGCTGCCTCTCTCTATCTCTCTCTCTCTGACTCTCATGAATAAATAAATAAAACAAACAAACAAACAAAATTTTTAAAAAAATTAAAAACTCATTGTGCATTTGATATATGTAAATTAGGCTTCAACAAATAAAAGAAAAAGAAAAGAAAGAAACTGTTTTCCTGACCCTGTTTCCCCGCTCGGTACTTCCAGCCTTGTCCATGCCCCACAGGGTCCTTTCTTCTCACCTGGAGCACCCAAGAGAAAGTCTACAAATTAGCAAGTCTACAGATCAGCACTCTGCAGCTCAGTTGGTGCACCTGGGACCCATGGCTTCCTTTTTTTTTTTTTTTTTTTAAGATTTTATTTATTTATTTGACAGAGAGAGACACAGCGAGAGAGGGAACACAAGCAGGTGGAGTGGGAGAGGGAGAAGCAGACTCCCCCCCTCCCCCGAGCAGGGAGCCTGATGCGGGGCTCGATCCCAGGACCCTGGGATCACGACCTGAGCCGAAGGCAGACACTTAGTGACTGAGCCACCCAGGCGCCCCCCCATGGCTTCTTTATAACAGCCATATTCCAGCTCTCACAGCCCAGCTCAAGCACCACCTCCTTCTACGAAGCCACCTTGCTTCGTGCCACACCCTCCCAGCTCAGGGCTCCCAGGATCCTTGGCTCAAACCTCTATCCTGGCATCTTCCACTATTCACCTTGTATTATCCATGTAGACCCACCTGTCTTCCACACTCGATGCTAACAGTCATCGTGAGAACAGCTATTATTTAATGGTCCTGGGCCAAGAGCTGTACATGGTTGATTTCATCGCCTCTCTACATCAACTAGGAGGACAGGGATTATTAGTTCCCTTTTGCAAAAGCCGAGGCCCAGGATGGGGACAGCCAGTGGGACCTAGTCCCCACGGCCATAGGAAGGTTAAAGAACATTCAAACGCCACTCTGGCTCACCTTGAGAGCAGCCAGGGCCTTTTTCAGTGGGCAGAAAGGAAGGATTTAGCATCTCTGGAGTTCTTCAGAGTTGTAGAAAGATACCTTACAGGTGGAAAGGTGAGTCACTTTAGGTAAAAGGAATTGCCTACAAGTTTCCAGAGCAGGAAGAACGTGGAGAAATTAGGCAGCATGGGTAGAGGACAGGCTCGAGGAAGGTCTCTCCTCAGGGTTTTTTATTCTTATTAAATGGCTCCACATTTGCAGATGAGGCCCTTGGCACAGGGCTGGAGAGGGAAGACTCGTGATTAGTGAGTTCAGAGACCTTGGTTCTGGTTTTGCCAGGGGCCAGTTGGGGAGCCATGAAAACGTCTGTGTGTTCGTTTCCTCATCTGTCCTACCGGCAGGGTACCTCGCTTTGCAGTGAGGTAAACCTGGGTTGAAAAACTGGCTTCCTGACTTGCCACCCTGTGACTGACCTTGCCTCTCTGAGCTTGCGTTTCCTCATCTGCAAAATGGGGATAATAATAGTGCAGCCCTCGTGGGACCATCGGGAAGATAACACGTCTAAGGGCCTGGCCCTGTGCCCAGCATGTGCCATACCCATGTCCTTACCATCATTATTCCTAGAAGACGGATAAGAACACCAGCTGTAGTCCCTGCCCGGGCAAGGTGCAAGCTTAGGGACACGGGGTATCTCAAAACCACTTCGAACACTGGACGAACTTCTATAGTAGGCACGATCCTCTCCACAAGGGAACGGGGCCGCAGAGGGGTCTCAGCCTTGGGTTTCGGGGTAGGGGAAGGATTTTGTGCCTGGGCAGGACTGGCCAGCTCAGCAGAATGCTTAGCATCGCTGACCTTCAGGCACTAGATGCCAATAGCACCTCGTCCCCCACCCCACAGACAGCAGACATAGTGATAATTAAGAACACCCCCCTACACACATTTCCAAATGCCCCCCCTGGGAGGGGCTCCCTGCACACGTGCATAGTTCAAACCCTCTCCGCGGGCGTCCGGTGGGCTGGGTGACAGGGGTTGAATCTAGACCATGCTGCACTTGCCAAGCCAGCTGGGGCCCTGATGCGAGACTGCCCCAGCCTGTTGTCACTGACTTTGCTACTTCTCATGGATGCACTATATATGGGGTAGGACAGTGCGGTCCTTGCAAGCTCCCTGCTCCTGGGTCCCTACCTGGTCCTCGTGGTCCTCACACAGCGGCCCGTGCCCATCCTGATGCCTAGCTCTGGACTCTCCCCGCCGCTTCTCTCTCCCTCTCCAGCTCCCCCCTTCCTCTTGGGCCTCTTCTCTGTTCCTCCCCATGCCATGGCTTCTGTCCTCCAGGCTGGGCCCCCCATGGGTGTGGGAACCAGGTCTCAGTCACCCTGGCCCACTCAGGCGCTCAGAACCCAGGGTTATTCTCATTCTATTCAGAAGGACCGGAGGACGGAGAGTAGGAAGACTTAAGGGAGAGAGGAAGGAGGACCAGGCTGGGGTGGAGGTGGCCCCACCTCGAGAGGCCCAGCCCAGCCTTACCGCAAGTTTAGTCACACGGAGGGCTGTGTAGACCCGGCCAGCACTGCCATCCTGGCCAGGCTCTGAGTCACCAGCTGCAGCCTGGCGGGAAACCACGCCTGACATGGAAGTGGCGCACTCGGGTTGGTGAGGCCTGAACCCCCTCCTGGCTGGCCCTGGAGGAACTGGGAGTGACTAGCAACACTGGCTGGGCAAAAACATCTCTCCGGGACTTGCCAGGAAGTCAGGAACCCAGTGAGGCTTGAGGTCTCTGCTCTTGCTGGGGGGTGGTCTCTCACTCTGGAGGGCGGGGTGAGGTGAGAGGTAAGACTTGTGCATAAATCACCATGATACACAGGGTTCTTGACAAGGACCTAGGACAGGCATAAGGCCAGGGCCAGGGGAATGAGTGCCTGCTACAATCCTTTCATCATCCTTTCATTGGGGCAATTTGTCGCTATGTATCAAAAACCTCAAAAGATGGTTTCTACCAGCCATTCTTCTTCTAGAAATTGATCCTCGTAAAACAATTGAGACAATAAGCGTCCGGTCATAGGCAAATGGTTTAATGCAGCCACACAATGGACTATCACACAGCCGTGAAAAATCAGTAGAATTAAAAATTCCTTAGCATGGAAAGATGTTCATAGCATATTGCCAAGTGAAAATCCAAAATGGGTGAGCAGACAGTGGGCATAGCAGAGAATCCCCTTTCTTGTTTGAAAACTAGATGAACACATGAGTTTGGGTCTCTGGAAGGGTGGTGGTGGGTTGCGGGATGTTGCGGCTCAGTGTGTGGCTCTTACCTTCACCTCTTCCTTGCCGTGTGACCTTGGATGGGTCACTTGACCTCACTGAGCCTCAGTCTCCTCTCCTATAATATGAATGTCACTTGAGCTATGGTGAAGATTGATTAAGGCAGAGGATATAAAGCCCACAGCTGAGAACAGCAATGTTGTTTTTTATTTCTCACTCCCTGCCTGTTTGCTGGCACCATGATACTCCCTTGTCTGACTTTGGTAATGTTGGGCCCAATGTGGAATCATGACCTGGGCAGGTGGTGAGCACCCCCTTCCTGGAGGTATGCAAGCAGAGGCTCCGAATGGCAGGGACCCGGTAGAACAGACTTTGCTATCAGACGGGGACTGAGGTGGGTGTGGCCACCGCAGGCATGAGCATAGGCAGGTCTAGGAACAAGGTGGCCGAGTCCCAGGGATCAGGTGGGTGTCCCTGTCATGTTCCTCTCCAGTGCCCTGGACAGCGTTCTGCGCATCACCCAAGCTCCATCATGTCATGTTGAATGAAGACAGTCCTGGCATCGGAGAGGAAGATCTATTTCAACAAATAACTGCACACAAAATACGGTAATTATGCACGTGCTGATTGCGATGAAGGAGGGGTATAAGGCACTAGGAGAAGGGGCAGACAGGAAAGGCTTCTCTGACAAAAGGTCATCTTAGCTGAGGTCTGGAGGATGGATGGTGCTTGGTGAGGCAAAATTGGAAAAGAAAATCAGCATGCGTGTAAGCCCTCATGTAGCTGGAGCAAGGCTAGTCTGAGGGCATGAGAGGTCAGTGTGACAAGAGAAGGGCCAGGGGAAGAGGGGCAAAGGGGAGCCTGGCAGGAGCCTTCAAGGCTCCTGAGGACAGTGGGAGCCACAGAAGGTTTGAAGCTGGGGAACGACATGGTCATATTTGTGTTTTAGAACAATCCAGCTGGCTGTCCACTGCAGAATAAATGGGAGGCAGGAGGTGGGGAGGCCACTAAAGGGTTGGGTTGTCAGTTGGAGGGCAGTCATGGGGCCCGGACTTGGGTGTGGTGGTGGAGCTGGCCACAAGAGGAGCAAGAAGGGGGCTGGGCAGCCAGAGTCCAGGTGACAGATGGAATAGCTGTGAGCTGGGTCTCCTTCCACTACCCTACGGTTAATAAAGAAGGGAGGTCCAGGCAAGGTGCCAGGGTCCTTCCACACCAGGGGCCATGCCAACTGCGTAAACAGCAGTGGACACATGATATTCCTTAAAAACAAAATCCTGATTCATTCACATTCCCTGTTGTTTACCCAAGGTGTTTGTTTTTTTCTCCTGGGCTATTTCAGGTCTGACAGGTTTGCGGGGAGAGCAGAGCTGGGACTCAGAGCCAACTGGGAGGGAGAGGGACCAATGGGGCAAGGAATGGCTCATGCTCCTCCTTACAAAGCCAGGAAGGGTCCTGGCCTGGGCCCCTATTGTATGTTCTGGGGCAAATCCCTTCCTTTCTCCAGACTGCTGTCCAAGCTCTGGACCCTTCTGGACCCTTCCTTTCAAAGTAAAGTATTAGTCTTTACCTTTGGGTCCTAGTTTCTAATGTGCTTTAGGGTGGGGTGGGGCGGGGCAGCCCCGAAGGGAGGCAGTTCGGCAGAAGCCACTTCCTGACAAAGGACAGATGAATCAGGGGCTGTAGGTGGCATTCTCTGCCTGGGAGGGGGCAGGCCCAGCAAGTGGGCATGGGGAGCCTTCCCTCTCTGCTCCAGATCTGGAACATTCATTCCTCTTCTCTGTCCACATGCCTGGTATCTTCCACCGGGCTCCAGGGCCTGGGCCAAGGGAAGAGTGTGGGAGAGCTGGTGGATAGATATGATATCCAGAGCCCTAGGAAAAAAAGCAGAGACACCCCCCACCCCCACCCCACCCAACCTTGCTGTGTTGAGAAGTTCCTTTTTTTTTTTTTTAAGATCTTATTTATTTATTTGAGAGAGAGAGGGAAAGAGAAATCACCAGCAGGGCAGGCGGAAGGGGGCAGAGGGAAAGGGAGAAGCAGGCTCCCCATTGAGCAGGGAGCCCGAGCAGGGCTTGATCCCTGGGATCATGACCTGAGCAGAAGGCAGACGTTTAACCAACTGAGCCACCCAGGCACCCCGAGAAATTCTTCCTTATAGAAAGAGCTCTTAAAAACCAATAAGAAAAAAGATATACATTCTTACACAAAAGCAGGCAGAAGATATGAATAGTAAAAACCACAGAGCCAAGAAATGTATGAAAACATGCTTTAATTTATTCAAAACTAAAAACTGAATAGTAAAACAGCTTCAAGTGTAGGGGTAGGGGTTCCTAGCTTTTCAGAGTTGAGAAATTCTCCTGATGTCTAATTTCCTGAAATCTTTTCCTCTTCCTCATATAGTACTGATGACTATATTCATTTTTCTTTCCTTTAAAAAAATAAGTCCTTCCTCCACCCAAAGATCACAGCTGGCCTGACTTATTAACATAAAGTAGTGGAGAGCTGAGAACTTTTTTTTTTTAAGATTTACTTATTTATTTGAGAGAGAGAGAGAGGGGCAGAGGGAGAAGGAGAGAGAGAATCTCAAGCATGGGGAGCCCGACATGGGGCTCCATCCCATGACCCTGAGATCACGACCTGAGCTGAAAGCAAGAGTTGGACGTCTAACCAACTGAGTCACTCAGGCGCCCTGAGAGATGAGAACTTTTTTTTTTTTTTAAGATTTTATTTATTTATTTGGCAGAGAGAGACACAGCGAGAGAGGGAACACAAGCAGGGGGAGTGGGAGAGGGAGAAGCAGGCTTCCCGCGGAGCAGGGAGCCCGATGCGGGGCTCGATCCCAGGACCCTGGGATCATGACCTGAGCCAAAGGCAGACGCTCAATGCCTGATCCACCCAGGTGCCCCCGAGAACGTTTTAAGATTTATTTATTTATTTATTAGAGAGAGAGAGAGTGCGTGCGCGACTAGCAGGGGGAGGGACAGAGGGAGAGAGATCAGGGAAGCCGACTTCCCACTGAACAGGGAGCCCGACTTGGGGCTCCATCTCAGGATGCTGAGATCATGACCTGAGCTGAAACCACGAGTTGGATGCTTAACTGACTGAGCCACCCAGGTGCCCAGAGAACTTTTAAAGAAGTTTACAATAGTCTCAGAATAAAGTAAAAAACCCTATGTTCTGGACACTCGAGGAGCCTCCCATCTGGTCCCACCTGTCCATGGCAGGGGCCCCTCTCTCCTCTTCCCTTGGACTAGCCCCTGCGCCAGTCATGACTCATCTCCCTTGCCTTTGTTCATACTGACACCTTTACTTGGCGTGCCCTCTCTAGGCCTACCTACCCAGCATTGAAGTAAGGGTTGCTATGTGCATCCGATGGAATATTATCTTTTGAAAATCCTTACAATTGGTAATTCTTCCAATAAAGTAGTTGTTAGGGCTGTCGGATGAGGTAGGAAATGCCTTTGGTATGATACCTGGCAAGTGGCATGAGGTCCATGAATGGTGGCCATCCCTGGATCTTCATCGAATAGGCTTCTTCTCGCCAATCAGATCTCCAAGTGTCATCTCCCAGACTGCCTTCCTAGGTGGCACCCCCACTCCCGTCACTTTAATCCCTCATCCTATTTTATCTTAATGCTTATCCTTTCTGAATCATCTTATGTACTGCCTTTCTCCCTCCAGCAGGAGAACATAGCTTCTGCAAGGGCAGGAATCTTGACTACCTGGTATGCTGATACATCCCCAACACCTGCAACAGCGCCTGACACACAGCTGGAGCTCCATATATTCACTTACCATTTCAAAATCAACTTTACTGGGGTGCCTGGGTGGCTCAGTCTTTTCAACGTCCGACTTCGGCTCCGTTCATGATCCTAAGTCGGACTCCCTGCTCAGCAGGGAGTCTGCTTCTCCCTCTCCCTCTACCCCTCCTCCATGCTTGTGCTCTCTCTCAAATAAGTAAATAAAACCTTTCAAGAAAATAAACTTTATTGAAGTATAATTTACAGGCCACAAAATGCATCCATTTAAAGTTTTATAGTTTGGTGAGTTTTTTTGTTTTTGTTTTGTTCTGTTTTTAAGTTTTACTGAATCCAGTTGATTTCTTTTTTTTTTTTTTTTAAGTAAGCTCTACGCCCATCGTGAGGCTTGAACTCAGGACCCCAAGATTAAGAGTCACACAGTCTACCGACTGAGCCAGCCAGGCGCCCCTAGTTTGGTGAGGTCTGACAAACGTGTACTCCTACATTACCAGCACCCCAGTCAAGGCATAGACCATTTCCAACCTCCCTCAAAATCCCCCTCTGACTTTTTTTTGCAGTCAATTCCCCTCCACTCCACCCCTAGGTAAAATGTGTGTGTGTGTGTGTGTGTGTGAACTGAATGCATTTTGAATTGGGACTGGTCCCAAGGTCGGGGGGGAGCTATTCACATGTGCACACAGCATTCTATAGTTTACAATGCCTTTCTACTTTCATGATCTCATTTGCTTTTCACATACGAGGCCATGGATGCTCAGACAGACTAGGTGACATGTGACAGAGAGTCTCCAAAGCCAAGAAGTGGGGGGCAGGGCTGGGCTAGGGGCCTGGCATCCTGGGCCGTTTGTGGGTACTCCAGGCTGACAGGCCCAGGTGTACCATAAAGGCTGGCAAAAGGCTGCTTGTGGTCCCCACCTCTGTCCCAACTGGCCCAGGCGTCCAGTCTGACTAAGATGCCCTGGGGTGTCCAGATGCCAGCTGTACACCCAGGGCAAGCAAGCCTTTCCAGTCCCTATAGTTTGGGCTGTGGGGAAAAATGAAACGAGGCTAGCAGCCTCTCTTGTTTCTGATTACTTCTGTCTGGTTGCTCAAAGAGAACAGACAGACACTGGGTGTCAGGAGACTTGACTTCTGGCTGTGTTCTGCCTCTGCCTTGCTGTGTTACTTTGGCAAGTCACTTTCCTTCTCTGGGCCTCAGTCTCCATCTCTGTAGAGGAAACAAGTCATCCCTGCCAGCTTGACTTCAACTCCACCTGATGACTCTGTTGCGTGAATCTGTCCTGCTCTTCAAAGACTGGCCTATGCCTGTGCTCTCTCCACTCCCTGGAATGCTGTTCTCCAATGTCTGCTGTCAAAATTCTGGTTTTTCTACTTGTAGTTCAGGTGCTCATCCCTCTGTGATTTCCCTCAAAATGGAATGTTCTGCTCCTTTCTCTAGTTTCTATATGCTCTTGAGGGCAGGGACTGTGATTAACAATGAGAGAATGGTGGGTTCTATTTATTGAGATGACCAATCTTGTGCCAGGCACTGTGCCGGTCACTTTGTTATGTGCTTTAATCCTCACAACAAAGTGTCATTATTCTCATTTGACAGATAAGGAAACTGAGGTTCAGAATAATGCCACTTGTCCTGGGTCACAGAGCCAGTAGGACGGCTTGGGCAACTTCTCTTTCCCCAACCCCAGCATTTTTTTTTTTTTTTTAAGTTTTCTTTAAGTACTCTACACCCCAGGTGGGGCTCAAACTCAGGACCCAGGATTAAGAGTCCTCCGCTGGTGGGACTGAGCCAGCCAGCCACCCACCCTGCCCCCACCCCCGCATCTTGCAGAGGGCCTAGCAAGCAGGTATTTATCACCTGTATGAGGAATGACCAGTAAGCCACTGACTGCCTGAATCAGCACCAGTATCACATTAATCAGCTTCAAACCTACCTCTGGTAGTGTGGACAGGACTAAAGTACCTGTGCTCAGGAATGCTAACTTTTATTACCACCATTCTTTGCCTTTGTCACACCCACAGTGAGAACTGCCCAATCATAGGGTGGGATACATGCGTGGTGAGTACTCGGTCACCAGGGTAAGCAAGCAGAAACTGGATGACCTTTCGGATGCAGTAAGGGGAAGTCTGAGCATCAGCAGCCAAGGAAGGCCTCCACCACCCCCATCCATGATTTTGGGGATCCCAGTTGGTAATCTGTTTCCCCTCCTGGCTTGGGAGGTGGCGAGGGTAGGATTGGAATACATTCCTGTGGTACCAGGACCCACCCATGCTCAGCCCCGCAGGCCTGATTGATACCCACAGACCATGAAGGCCCGTGGGTTTTGAACCTTTTACAAACTGGAAACTTCTATTGTTTATTCCATTCCTGACCTGCCCTGTCCCACAAGCCACCTCCCGAGTGAACTCCCCATCTGCTGGGCCTGAGGAATGTCCGCCTGGCCCTGGCACCGGGGGTGCCTTCTGGGCCTCCGAGCCCTCCTTGCCACCTCCCCTTTCCCTGCACTATTGTGCAAGACAGGCGGGCACACCTCTGGGGCAGGTCGGATCAAGGCCAGGAACTTCCTGAGAGCGGGAGGCGGCGGGCGGGGCGGGAGGAGTGCGGTGCGAACGCCGAGTTCCCGCACTTCAGCCTCGGCGTCCCCTACCAGTTCCCCACGACCTGCTCGGCGTGATTCTCTTCCCGCGCGGAGAGGGGAGGAGGTGACCCCAGGCTGGAGCCCCCCAGGGCACTCCCCGTTCTTTGAGATGCCCCCACCAGCCCCATCTCTTTCTTCGGTTCGGTCTGGGTCCGGTGCGCCCCTCAGTGCATCACTCCTCGCTCTCCCTCTCTCCGCCCGGTCTTTGTCCGGGTCTCGCCCGCAGTCCCGGCGTCCCCGGCGCCCCCCTGCCCTCCCGCCCGCGGCCGCGGCGGGGGCGGGGCTCGGCTCGGGGGGCGGGGCGGGGCGGGGCGGGGCGGGGCTGCTGCGCCGCGGGCTGGGGCGCGGGGCGGAGGCGGCCCGCGGGACAGACGCGGCCCGGGCTTGGAGCGCGGGCAGAGCGGAGGTCGCAGCGAGGGGCGTCGGGAGCGGGCCGGGCCGGGCTGCATGGCGCCAGCGGCGTCCTCCTGAGCGGCGCGGGCAGCGACGGGCGGCGGGCGGAGCGGGCCGCGGCTCTTCCTCGCCATGGGGGACGTGCTGTCCACGCACCTGGACGACGCCCGGCGTCAGCACATCGCAGGTGAGTCCCGCGCGGTGCAGCGCTCCGGGGGTCCAGCGGGGAGCCCCCGGGCCACGCCCCCAACCCGGTCGGCCGGCGGCGCCGGGCCCGGGTCTCGGGGGAATCAGGCCCGGCGCAAGGCGGGAGTGGCCGGGGACCAAGTCCTGCGTCTAGCTTGTTCCCTCCACGTTTGGGCGTTCCTTCCTGCCCCTTTAGGAGCTCGCCCTTCCCCCTCCTGAGGGAAGTCGAACCTCCCCCTCCTCTACTGGAACCCCCTCCGAGCCGGTCCCTTCGAATGCCCCCCAACACACTACCCTGATGATGTTGTGGCCCACTCGGCCAGCGTGTCCTGATTGTCCTCCCTCACTGTCCCGGTCCCCACCTCATCCTGGCCCCAGCCCTAGTACACGTGGCTGAGGCTTCTAGGGACAGGCCCATCCATACTTGGACTGAGCCTGGGGAGTAGGGCTAGGGATAGATGGGGTGCACAGGAGGAGTAGGTCAGAACCCCTGCCCTTCGACTCAGGCTCAAGCAGGGGCTCCTGCTGGCAGACATGTCCGGGGGCTGGTCAGGGCCGGAGCCCAGCCTCCTCAGCCCCCTCCTTCAGCCATCCCTGCTCCCAGCCTGTCACTTCACAGTGGCCACTTGTCAGAAGGGTGACTGACCCCAGGCTTCCTGGGGAAGCCCCAGGGTAGCAGCAGGGTCCGGGGCCCCTCCTCCCCCTACCCTGGAGAATGGAGAGGTGGGGTGAGAATCTCAGACTGCCTGGGAAACTTCAATTTTGTGGTTCACCTCTCCCGCCCTGGGTGAGGCTGCCTGGGTGGAATCCCAGCATCTGTTTCCCAGCCGTTAGGTCTTAGAGAAGTCTCTTCATGGCCTGGCACCTCAGTTTTCTCCTCTGAAACGGGGTGAATAATTTCTTATTAATGAGCTGTTGAGAGACTCATTGTTTCCTGTAGCTTGCTTAGCACAGGGCCTGGTAGAGGAGGCACCCATGCATGGGGTGCTGGTCCATGTGGGGTGTGGGGTGGGTGCAGCCGATGGAAGGAGTTATCTGTTCCTCTTCTTGAATTTGCTACTCTCTGTCCAGTGAACCCAGAGCACTGTGTCCACCTACATTTATCTTGATGGGTCCTGCAGTCCTGTAAAGTTTCAGCAGCTGTGTTCTGTCTGCTTGTACCCCTTGAGAAGAGTGACCAGGTGTCCCTTAACTCTGTGTCTCCAGGACCCCACGGTTGAGCACAAAGAAGGTGCTGAGGAAGTGTTGTCCAGTGACCGTGGTACTGGGCCTGCCGCCCGAGTTCCCCCTTTGGGCCAGGCCTGGGCCTCGGGTGCCCGGGTGAGGGTGAGGTAGAAATGAGTCAGACTCTCTCCAGCCTCAGAGCAGCAGGGGGTTAAGTCCTGGAAAAGCCTCCTTATAGGACCGGCCTGGACTCTGGGAGGAGGAAAGCCGGGGCGGAGTCTTCCTGTCCCCTCCCTGTCGGTGGCAGCCTCCTGGGGCTCTGTAACAGTCCATCCATTCACGACCTCCTGTTGGGGCCCCTCACCAGGCCTGGGTGGGGGGTGCTGCTCCTTCTTCGGTGGGGTTTTTCCTTCCCCCACACCCACCTCTTGCTCTCCCCCCTCTTTCTACCTCCTGGGCTGAGAACTGCCAGCACCCCTCCACCCCCATTTTACACGGGTGGAGACTGAAACCACAAAAGGTGAAGTGTCCTCTCTTGGACATGGTTGGGTTTGTTTTGTGGATACCAGGCTTGTGCCCACTCAGCCTGCTGGCCCCTCTTCTCTTCTCAACACTTCAGGGCTATTAATAACCCTCTTCAAATGCCTCAAATTCCTGGTCCAGGCTCACCTGGGGGAGCGTCTTAAGTCGGGGTTGGGAGGTTGGAAGCAGGGGAAAGCCTCTAGCCCCCTCCAGGGAAGCAAGCCACCTTAGAAATTTCTTTTGGAGGGAATGAAAGCTAGCCTTTGCCACCTCCAGTGATCCATGCACCCTCCCCACCCCACCCAAGGAGCAGTGAGCACTTTCATGCCAGACAATTAAAATTCCAGAGCCCTCCCTACCTGGGCCACCCCTTTGGAAATGTCAACATTTGGAACGTCCCTTCCCGCAGTGCTCTGGGCTCCGAGGCTTGTTGGGGTTCTGTGGCTTGGCAGGGCGGATGGCCCCTGCAGCTTTGTGCCCACCTGCGCAGGTGAGCAGGTGAATGCCAGCCTACAAGTCCTGGCAGAGGTCAGGCACACTCCTGCCCAGGTGCCATTTTGCTGCCACGGTGCCTTTCATCCTGGGATTTCAAAGCCCCTGGCAAGCAGGGGCTTGTTCTCACAGTAGCAGCCTCGTGGGGCTGATGGCAGGATGATTATTCCCTCCTACTTTTCAGGAGGGAGCTTGAGTGGAGAAAGAGCCCTGACCTGGGAGCCAGGAGGCCTGGGTAACCTCAGGCAGTCACTTACTCTCTCTGGGTCTCAGTTTCCCTAGCTGTGAACTGAAGGCTGTACGCTACCTGATGGCTGAAGTCCCTTCTGGCTCTGAGAGTCTAAGGGTCCCAAATATTCCCCACGAATCTCCTCCAGATTCGGGCCAGCTCAGGCTTCCAATACTGACTTCACATTCTGTTAGCTGATGTGAACTTGGGCCAGCATCTTAATCTCAATTTTTTAATCTGTAGAATGGGAATAATAGTAGTTTCCGGCTGGACTCCCGTTGCAAGGATTTAATGAGATAATGCTGGTAAGACGCTCAGCCCAGTGCTTTGGGGCATAGCAAGTGCTCAGCAAACAGTTGCCATTATTGTTGAGAATTGTCATTTATTTTATTTTATTATTTTTAAAGTTTTTATTTATTTATTTGACAGAGAGATAGCAAGAGCAGGAACACAAGCAGGGGGAGTGGGAGAGGGAGAAGCAGGCTTCCCGCGGAGCAGGGAGCCCGATGTGGGACTTGATCCCAGGACCCTGAGATCATGACCCGAGCCAAAGGCAGACGCTTAACCGACTGAGCCACCCAGGCCCCTGACAATTGTCGTTTATTCTGTTACCAATTCTCTAGTAGGTGAGGAGAGTGGCCAGGTGTTTGGAGTGCGAAGGGGGCGATTGTCGCTGTGGTTTAGGTCCTTTTTCTCTGAGATTTGTCCAGTCCCCGGCCTCAGGGTGGATACTGGTTCCTTGGATGCAAGAATCCACCAGGGTTTTTCGAAAACTTGAATTCCACGTTCCTTGTGCCTTGGCAGATGTGTGAGATGGATGTAGGCTATCTTGAGTGGGTATGGAGGGCAGTGATGCGGCCCCCCTATGACTAGGAAGGAGCTAGGACATGGAGAGGTGGGGGATTAGGCCAACCCACACATTCCATCTGGCCCAGAGGACAGGGCTGGGATGAGAGAATGTAAGGGTCTGGGTGGCCCATGTTGGTGCTATAGGAGGGGTTCTTTGCCACCAAAGCCAAGACAGAAGAGGTGAGGGAGGGAGCTTACTGTTGCACAATAGGGGCTGGGTGCTGTGCCCTTGGCAGGAATCCTGGCATTGCCTAGGGGGGCCCTTCTGCCTCCAGGACAGCCTTGAAGAACTCAGCGCCTCTGGAAATTCTGTTGGCCGGGATGAAATTGTGGGAGCCAAGGGAACCGCGCCCCCATACATAAACTGCCCTTAAGAGTTATTACCTGAAAGGGCTGGTTAAGTAGTTTGCCAGTACGCCCTTCTGCCGGGCTCGCCTTTCCCTTTGCTAATTCTTTTTTAAATAGCAGCTTTATTGAAACATAATTCACCTGCCAGACAATTCACCCACTTAAGTGTACAGTTCATTGGGTTTTGTGTGTGTGTGTGTGTGTGTTCACAGAATTGTGCATCCAGGGGCACCTGGGTGGCTCAGTCAGTTGAGCCGCTGCCTTTGGCTCAGGTCATGGTCCCGGGGTCCTGGGATCGAGCCCCACATCGGGCTCCCCGCTCGGCGGGGAGCCTGCTTCTCCCTCTGCCTCTGCCTGCCTCTCTGCCTACTTGTTCTCTCTCTCTCTCTGTCAAATAAATAAAAAATAAAATAAAATAAAATAAAAATCTTAAAAAAAAAAAAAAGAATTGTGCATCCATGGCCACAGTCAATTTTAGAATGCTTCCATCGCTCCAGAGAGAAACACCGTGCCCACTAGTGGTCACTCCCCTTTCCCCTGGTTGTTCCCCACCCTGGGCATCCACTGCTCATGTTGGCTGGTTGCACAAGTAATGCATGCACGAGCCGCATAGGAGTGTAAGGTGGGAAAGCATCCTCTCCCTTCGCTCCCACCCCTCAGGAGAAACTGATGGAGTTTGGTGTGTCCCCCGTGTCCAAACACACGTCTCTGTGGACACACACGTTTAGCTCTGGCTATAAGAAGAGCCCCAGCGATAGGGCTTTGTGGTTGGACTTTTTTTTCACTCTGTCTATTGTGAACATCTTTCTGTGTTGGAGCACGTGAGTTGGTCCCATTTGAACTTCTGCGGGTGGATTTCCTTCTGTGCATGGTGCCATTTATTTCCTCATCCCCCCCATCAACGGACATTTGGATGGTTTCCAGTGTTTGGCAGGAATCCAGGGCGCTGCCCAAACCTTGCCCTCGTCCCGGGCCAGGTTCTGGTGTCAGGCCTCTGAAAAGGCTCTAAATGTTTGAAACTCCCTCTCGTTGGTACAGAGTACCTCAGTGCGTCTTATCACCCTTTTTGGGAGTCGGATATGAGAAAAAGGGTATCTCATTTATTTATTGAGCAAAATGAATAACGCCTTTTTTCCAAATTGATTTTGCACACCTACCTCTCCACATTTGGGAAAGGGCTGCAGGTCCCCAGTGTGAAGGGAAGAGGGTGTCCCCTTTCGGCACCCCCCCTCCCCCAGTGTGTGGCTTTCTAGTCGCTGCCCTGGGGCTTTGCAGAGGGACCAGGCTGGCCGGAAACAGTGCCCAGCCCCGCCTGGGCCTCTGCGCCTTAGCCAAGGTCTGGGTCAGCCCCTGGGGGTGAAGCGTCTGGGGATTCTGCTCTGCTCTTGTGTCGGTCT